GGGGGGGGGGGCAAAAAGCTAATGGCCAGGCCAAGGGTGCCAAAAAGAAAAGAAGAAAAATGGGGCCGTGGCCGGCGTCTTACTTGGTCTGACGACGAGCCATCATGGACCGACACCTTTTCCGCCACGGCCCTTTCTTGCAGCCAGCTTACCTGCCCACACGAGAGCACAGCGGGACGGATCCCATGGCGGCCGCGTCGTCGTCCAGCTGCTGCCGCAACCGTGACTCGCCGCCGCGAGCCAGAGAGACACAGTCGCAGCGACGTCGCGAGCACGAGCAGGCACACGAGGGGAGAGGCGGCCTAATACTATTAGTAGTAGCACTATCGAGTGGCAGCAGCATGGGCGGCATTGGCGGCGCCCACCAGCTGGGGTTCTCCGCATCTTGCCCATAGCGCTGGGTCATCCGCTCCTTCCCTTCCCTTGCCTTCCCTGCCTGCGCCTGTGCCTAGCCGATATCATCACGCCCCTCTTCGCTGCTGTCGCCGTCGCCGTCGCTCACCCACCGCTGACTCTGCTTACCTACTACTGCTACTACTACTACCACCACCACCGCCACTACTACTACTACTACTACTACTACTACTACTACTACTGTTACTACTACATGCTCTTCTCACCCTCCCCAACGCCCACCGCTGACACGCCACCCCCACCCCCCCGGTTTCCACTCTCCACCCCCAAAGCAGCCGGCCACGCCCGCATTCTCCCTCACCCGCCTGGGTCATGTCCGCCTCTGCGCCCTGACTATGGTCTCGTGACATACGGCACCACTAGATGCTTTGCACGCAGCTAGCCCCAGCCTACAGTGCATGAGCTTGTCCGCCCCAGGATGATGCGAGCCGCCATCGAGCACCCATCGTCATTGTCATCATCATCATCATCATCACCACCACCACCATCACCATCCTTGTCTTCTTCTTCGTCTTCATCGGCTTCGTCTACGCGGCGCCGGACCTTTGGAATCTCAACTGCCCAAGGCCCGGCAACGTGGTGGACCTTCACTCTGCTTCCACCACCAGACATGCGCCTGACCTTCCTACCTAGGCCCCCGCCACCCGCGTCGAGAAAGCGTAGGCGAGCCGTGGCTGATATCGACGGAGAGCACTCGTGTGTGCAAAAGAAGAAGCGCCGCCTTCGACGCTTTCTCATCACATCCCGCCTATCCCCCCAATTCTCCCACCCAGCCTCCAACATTGTGGACCGAGGAAGCTCCAAGATTGCTGTATGGGCCAAGCAAAAGGCTCTCGGACGGAACTGGCTCCCCAAAGCCGCCATACTCAACGGCATCCGGAGACGAAACATCCTGGCCAAGGATGCCTTTGCACTCTCTGCCCGCCTGGCGATTGCACAAGAGAAGGAAGAAGCACAGCTCGAGTTGGCTCGCCTGGAATTCACTCATGGCAGCATCGACACGTACACACGCCCAGTGCTCTCGCGGGACCCCTCCGTGCCACCCACGGCCGCCGTACGAAGTGGTAATCACTTTGTCGTGTCTGGGTCGCCTTCGACGTCTCCGAGCGCATCGAGAAGCCCTTCGCCCACATGGACGAGTCCGGACGAGGCGACGGCATTCTGCTCTCCCAACCAAGCATGGGCTGCTGCTTCTTCACCTGCAAAGGCTCATGCACCGCGCAGAGACTACCTTCCCTTGCCGCCATCGCCACTGGGCATATCCAATTACGACGCCTTCGACACGGAGGAACCCGTCATGGATCTCTATGCTGACCTAGACGACCAAGACGAGCCACTCCCAAGCCCGTTTGACGACCAAGACGAAGACGAAGAGGTGCCTTTCTCGCCTTCTGCCGTCATGGCCCACGCACCCACAACCGTACGTGGTGGCACCACGCATGCTACCAACGAGTATTCCAGCTACAGCGTGCTGGACTACAGGCATATCAATCAAGTGGATGGATTCTGGCCAGACACGACACCAGACATGTCTACTCTGATGGTGTCAGGCCATTCGGCGCCAAAGCGGACAGACTCGTTTGCCACATCGCCCAACTTTGGACCGTGCATGTTGAAGAAGGCGCCATTTCCAGGCACGGGTGCGGGGACCACTGCAGGCCCTGCATCGCCCAACTTTGGACCGTTGGCTCTTGCAGAAGCAAGTTTTAGCCCGGCGGCGACTTCTCCCAACTTTGTCTCGACGACGGCCCCATGTCCTCGGTCGCCAAACCTTGGGCCAGTGCTCATGTCTAGTTTGTTGGCCAAGCAAAAGCGAGTGTGACGACCGACTTTGCATCAGGGCTTTCAGCGTGTGTGGGCACTCATGTTTTTGGAATAGGCTTCATGAGCAAAAAGGCATATAAAACGGGGGGACATGTACTATATCATTTGGCGCGTTACAAAAAGAACAAGAAACAAAAGCAGGCAACCAAAAAGGACTATGATAGAGTGGGAGGCAGTTTGTTCTGGCATAATGCATACTTGTTGTGCACAGTTGTATGGCTATGTGTGGATAGTAGGAGTGGCATGGAGCGGCGTGCAAGAGCAAGAGCAAGAGGATGCAAGACTGTTAAGCGTGGGGCGTGTACTTTGGTCGATAGAAGCGTAATCTGTTTGTTTGCCCTCACAGGCTGTGAGGGCAAATCACGAGACTGGTGGTGTGCTACTCGGTGTGCAGCTTGGAGGCGCGGTCGAGGGCAATATCACACATGGCCTGAATGGCCTCGAGTCTTTCGGCCTTTGCGTCGCCGCGGTCAATGCGGGCGCGCATGTTCTGCATGATCTGGGGTCTGGGGCGGCCGTTGACAAAGACGCTATTGGTTGGTTGGTCAGTCAGTCAGTGGCATTTCTGGCTTTGTTGCATCCAAGTTGTGGGAGAATTTACGTAGACGAAACTTAGGAAAACATACACATATCTTAAGCCAGGAAATTTGGCCTCGTACTCGGCATTCAGGGCGTCGAGCATTCTGCCTTGGTCGTCGTGGCCCGCGTGCAACTGGGCCTGCTCCTTTTGGCTCAGCTCGCTGTCGACCTTTTTGGCGCCCAGGCGTGGATGGGCGCCGAGGATTTGGTCTAGGCGCTGTGCATCCTGGGGCTGGGTGGAGCTGGCGAGGGCGGACAACTGTGCCGTCACGGCCGAGATGAGCGTGGGGTAGTCTGGAAAGGGGGCGGAGCGCAGCACAGGAAGGCTGAGCGAGTGCAGCGTGGATGAGGGCTCGAAGAGGACATCTAGGACCTTGGTGAGGTCGGGCGTGGCGAGGTGGGGGAGTGCGCTGGTGGGTGGGAGCGACGAGGGCATTGTTGGATAGATGGATAGATGGATGGGTGGATGCGGGAAGAGTTCTCAATGTCTTTTTTTTGGTTGTTGTTTCTTTTTGCACTGGTGTCGAGAGGGCTTGTGCGGGAGGCGGACGCTCTCTTGTTTTGCTTGTTCCCGGCGTGCGGGGGGGGGATGATGGTGGACTGAACAGGCAAGGGAAGTTTTTTTGACTTGTGAGGTCATCGGGCGCGACCGTCCGATGAGGGACGTAGGCAGTAGTGGTCCAAGTGCATGAGTGGGTTTTTTTTACCATCAGTATGACTATGGCTATGACTATGGCTATGACTATGGCTATGATTAGTAGCCTTGCTCTGCTTGCTGTGGCTGCGTGGCTGCGTGGCTGCGTGGCGTGCTCTTGGAGGCAGGCCGACTTGTCGTCATGCTCGGCATGGTCAGCATGGCCTCCCTCGTCGGCGGCTTCCTGGATCCAGCTGAGCTTGGGCTGGCGCGACGAGCCGCTCGACGAGGAGCTCGAGGGGGCGGCCGTGTGCAGACTGCATGCCGAGGCGAGGGCGGCATCGCTCAGTTCTTCGGGCGTGGAGATTGGCAGGACAATGTCGTGGGGCGCAAACTTTTCGCTAATGTTGATGAAGTGGACGGCGACACGGGCTGTGGGAAGGCGTGGTCAGCATTGGATTGCAGGCAGGCAGGCAGGCAGGCAGCCATGAGGGATTGGGGGAGGAGGGGCGCGTACCTTGCAGCAGGCGCGAAGTTCCCTCGGGCACATATTTGACCAGGACCTTGCGGCGGCGATAGAGCAAGAGGCCGTAGAGCGGTGACGTCTCGTCGTACTGGGCGACGGCTGCGCGCGCCTCTCCTGCACCGCCGGTCCCCCGCTTGAGCACCTCAACCGCATCCCTGGACGTGTACCTGAGCAGAAACCTAGACGCAACATGTCAGTCGGCAGCGCGCGGCGACAGCGAGGGCGAGGGCGCGCGCGCGAGCGTGCGAGCAAGCGGGCGCGACAAACAGAGAAAGAAATGGGCCTGTCATACCAACCACCGGCCTCGGCGAGGGCGCCCTGATAGGCCTGTGTGACTTCTACATTGTTGAGCCCGTTGAGAGACATGATGGTGCACGACGGGGCCTCGAGGCAGCGGGCGTGCGGGGAGGGGCAGGCTCTCAGAGCCGTGCGTAGTGACAGCGACGAAGTGGGCGTCTCTCGTCTTGCTCTTGGTCGTTGGTCGTCGACGTGCAGCAACGGGGAATCTGAGTATCCAGGAGGTCAAAGCTGGGCCGGGGGGGCGGGGGGTCACCTGGCCGGGGATCCGCGGCGCGAGAATATCAGCAGCGTGCGACACGGGCCATGAGTGCTGCCAACGGCATCGAGGCAGGCGAACGGTTTCAAGAACACTCGGAGGAGAAGAAAAAAAAAACCTGGGCGTGCAATGCGTGGAGCACCTGACGGCGGGCGAGAGGGAGCGCGGTCGAGGGCGAGGGGGGGGGTGGGCGGCATGCGGGTGGGCGTGGAGCTGCCGCGTTTCAGGCACAAGGGCGCCGACAGGGGGCCGCCCATCGCGCAGCAACCAGTCCAGGGACTCTCTCACTCACTGTTCCTCTCTCGCTCTCGCGCTCACCCTACTATAATAATACACCATACTAGACGCACCATGGCCTACTGCTGTGCTCCCTCCCCCCTTCCCCCCTGGACCGTTTGCCGACACAACAAATGGCGCAGGCTCGAGGCAGCGGCGTCGCTGCTGCATGTCGACATGTATGTAGTGCGAACATAGCATGCAGAATGTGTGGATGGAGGTGGATGTAGTGTGTACCTGCGCTATACCCAGGCTGGGACCCATGTGGCATGCAACGCAGGAACACGGCACACAATGCCACCGACAGTAGGAGCTCCTGAGGCGCAAAAGGTCACAGCCAGACGTGTGTGTGTGTGTGTGTGAGCGCCCCTTATCCACGCTTACAACGGCCTGTCAGATGTCACTGGGGCTGGGGTTGGGCTGTGGCTGGCGTACCCCGGGTGCGGGTTGTTTTTGCCCAACCGTGCCCCGTCAACGGGCTGGCGACAGGAACAGGAAGCAACAAGCCGCTGTTGCGCCCGTCATGGTCACGGCCATGGCAGGTGCAGTGGCAGGTGCAGTGGCAGGTGCAGTGGCAGGTGCAGTGGCAGGTGCAGTGGCAGGTGCAGTGGCAGGTGCAGTGGCAGGTGCAGTGGCAGGTGCAGTGGCTTGATCCCCGCGGCAGATGGCGGCTTCCTCATGCGAACACGGCGTTGCCTGAGCAAGAACAAGACGCTGCCACTGCCACTTGCTTGTCCGACGCTGCCAGCGCAGACATACCCACCATCATGGAGCCGTCTCGGGCCAGCACCGACGACCATGTCGCAAGAAACGGCTCCATTGCCTCGCAGGCCGAGACGGTTCCCTTGATGCTCGACGAAAAGGCACTCGGCCACACAATCGCGCCCGAAATCTCTCACGTCACGGTCGAGACGCTCAGCGAGGGTCCCGACACGCCAGAAGACACGCATCTGCCCGACCTGCAGGCCTCGCTCACCGGCTACGACTCGCTATTCGAGGGCGGCCCGGAGCCGAGAAGCTCGTCGCAGACGACGCGCCCAGACTACAACGAGCTGTACGAGCACTACTATGCACAGTACACCAAGCCCAAGGTCAAACTGGGCCCGCGCCCGCGACAGTCGCTCGAGGGCAAGAGGCCCTCCACGTCAGGCAACACGTCACAAGACATGGCAAGACAGGTCTCATCACTCCCGGCAGGCCTGCGCGCAGTAGCGCGAAAGGCGGCCCAGAAGAAGGAGTCCAAGACGTCGTCGTCGTCGTCGGGCCCTGTTCCTGCCATTACCGTTCCCCCGCCCTCCGAGTTGCCCCTGATGCCTGAGATGCCGCATTCTCCCGTGTCGTCGCTATACGCCCCACGCTCGCCCGTGAGCGTCAAGTCAATGCCCGTCTCTGCGTACAAGACCCACCTCCGCGCCACGGGAACCACACAGGAGCGGACGAGGCTGATGAAGGCCCTGGAACTGCGCAAGAAGCAGCAACAGGCGCAGCAGGCCAAAAAGGACATGGCAGATCAAGAGCCGACGGTACGAGACTCGACAGTGTCTGCCGAGACGACTCCCACGGCCCATCATCACCAAGAGGAGCCCGACGCGAGCAAGGAGACGTTGCTGGGTGATGACTTGGCCATGTCCCAACGCGCAAGCACTTCTGGACTGACCTTTGCGGACAATCCTACCGAGACGGACGATTTACACTCGACCGTCTCGATATCATCACCCATCTCCGCCCAAACCCACGGTTCGTCGGGCGCACCATCAACGCGGCCGTCGTCCCTGTCCGAAGACGAGACCGGACTAGAAGCCCCACAAAAGTGCCAGGGTGCCCAAGAGTCCCAAGCTCCTGATCTCCTAGACGAGGAAGAATCCATCACTAGTACACCCACCGTGGTCGCCGAAAGCACCACTTCCTCTCCGCCCCCCGACGCGCCAGACGAACACATCCCACGCCCAGAAATTACCGAGCGGCCGCCCTCGCTTGACGATGCAGACAGCAGCCGGCGGGACACCCTGAGGCCAGCCGACGACGACGACGACAACGACGACCACAGCAGCAGCACGCGGCGCCGCTCGAATCGAGAGTCGACCATATACATGCCCTCAGATGAGGCTTTCCCGTCACAACAGGCACCGGCTACAAAGCGCAACCGAGAATCTATGCTCATGCCCTCTGGGTCGGGCGAGGGCTGGCTTGAATCCAAGGGGAAGCGCCGGGCACTCCTCGACCCACTCCACGTCAGTGCGGAAAACTCCGAGACCGAATACCTGTCCGACGACTCCTTCATGGAGGAACTACAGAGCGCCACGGTACACGAAGCCAAACCAATTTCAGTGTCCAAGTCGCCCATAGTACCCTTCTTCCCACGCAAGTCGCCTTCGCAAGCCGAGGTGTCGACGCCCCCCCGATCAGCATCCTCCAACTACCCTGGTCTCTCGCGACCCTCCCCCGAGCAGCCTGCTGCACGCAAGGTGTCTGGCGGCTGGCCTCCTCCGCCAAAGTCGGACACGGCCGCCCCCAAGAAGATTAATGTTTCGTCGGGCATCTCGCAACGAATAAAGGCGCTGGCAGAGAAGACGAATAGGGAGTCGACTTCGCAAGGGAATGCCGCTGCGGCTACGCTGAGCGCGCCCAGTTCGTCGGTTGCCCAACGCAAGTCTTCCTTCTTTGCCTCGTCACCCCTTGACACGTCGCTGGGTGGGCTGTCTGCCTCGCGCCATGGAAGCACCTTGGTGCGGCCGTCGTCTTCGGCGTCCATGGTCGATAGGAGACCGACAGGCCCCATCAAGTCGACGGTTTACAATGTCCAGCAGGCTCCCGAGAAGCCAGAGTCTGTCCAGGTCACTGCGCGAATTGTTCGTGACGAGCGAAGCATGAACCCCAGCCTGACCATGCCGACGGAGAACACGCCGCTGGAACTCCACCAGAGCCCTCTGATCATTGATCACCAAAAGGCCACCCCCCCACCCAAGAGCCCTACGCCCAGCAAGCAAGACCCGCCCTCTTCTCGCGACACGTCGTCGTCGCATTCGCGCGAGCAAAGTCTGGCGCCCTCGCGGACGTCGTCGGAGAGCACATGGAGGGCGTTTGGCCGCCGCATGAGCGAGTCCAAGTCGTCGGTACACAGCCACGACGGCGAAGAGAAGAAGGAAGAGAAGAAGGAAAAGAAGGAGTCGCGCACGACCAAGATGTTCAAGCGCATGTCTTCGTCCATGTCGTCAATGCCCTGGAAGAGCTCGAGCAGCAGCTTGACGACGGACAACAACATGCAGTCTACGTCGCTGGCATCGCTGCGGGAGCCACCGCCTCCCATGCACGTTGGAGATTTGAACGTGCAGTTCCCCGACACGCTGGTAAGTCTGGAGGTATGTACTTGTCGTGCGGCATGCTAACGGTGCTCAGCTGTGGAAGCGAAGATGGGTCGAGATTGATGCCCTCGGCAATCTCGTGCTCAGCCCGTCCAAGCACAACGAAAAGGGCGTGGTGAAGCGCTTCCACCTCAGCGACTTCCGCACCCCCTATCCGCCCGACCAGGACCGACAAGAACTCCCCAACAGCGTGGTGCTTGATTTCATCGATGGGCGCACGCTGCAATGCGCTTGTGAGACACACATGGGGCAAGCTCAGGTTCTACAGAGTAAGCATGCCGGTGGGAGCCAAGGTTGTGTGACGTCTTTACTAACAGGGATAGTCCTCCGCGAAGCACACGACGCGTGGCTGGCATACAACCAGGCCATGTAGAGCAGAAACGGCACTGACCGCACGCCCCTACGGCACATATACCCTCGTTAGATTTTCTCCTGTCACCCACCCGGCCCGTAGCAAAACCGGCAGCTTTTTCTTGTCACGACGTACGACTACAGCATCAGGCATCACCTCTTTTCCTTGTGTTGGATACAAAATGGTTCTATACACTGGGGCTGTATCGATTTCCTTGCCTACCTGTGGACTCTTCGTACCCTGTTTTAGTTTTTTTTTCTCTTTCTTTTTTAGATCGCCCTTTTCTCCTTGCTTGCGTCTTATCTTGGCCTCTTTTTTCTTTTCTTTCTATCTTATATTTTCCTGCTTGTTTTGTCGAGTGCATACCCGTTTAGCGTTGGATTGTGGAGGGGGTGGGGGTGTGGCCAGTGGGGCAGGCTTGAAGCGTATCTCCTCTTCTTCACCCGCCGTCTTTTCTCTTCTTCTCTGGCACACACTGGATCATTTGTATAATATTTAATGCTGCACCGGCGGCAGTCTTGATGGTGCTGCTTTCCAGGGCGTGGCGAGCATTAGTCAGGACGGCTAGAACCCCCAGAATCAAAGAGCAATGGTCCGTTTGGAAGGGCTGTGCATTTGGAGCGTTGCCTTTTCATTTGCCGTGCGGCGGTTCCCGCCGACTGACACTGACACTGATGTGCCTGTGCCTGTAGACTGATGTGCATGTGCATGTGCATATGAGGGGTTACTGTATGCACATGATGGCGGGCGTGGGCTAGCGGCTCTTGGGCACCAGGGGGGTAAGTAAGCGAGAACGGGCGCTGGCACTGGCACCGGCACTGGCGTCATACATGCATCTTGAATCGATGAATGCGACATGTGCCCGCAAGCAGGACGCTGCCAGTATTGGCCGTGGTCGTGGTAGGACATGTCCATGTGCGCGCGCCTGTGTGTGAGATGCGCAGCGCAATAGGGCCTATTCCTGCCCTCATCTCCCTCCCGGTCTAGCTCTCTCTCTCTCTCTCTCTCTCTCTCTCTCTCTCTCTCTCTCCACCTCTCGCTCTCTTTCCACCTCTCCCTCGCCTGCTCCCTCCCCGCCCTCCTTTTCCCCTCGTTCGACCCAAGTTCGGCTGCTCGCAAACGCCCCCCATTCCCACCGCGCATCCTGCCTGCAGCTCCAGCGCGTCACTCGGCTTTCGGCGCACTCACCAAGAAAGAACAGCATCCCGCGGCGCACAAGTGCAATAAGCAACCACCCTCGGGTGCCGCCCGCGCGCCACCCCCCCGACCCCCCCCTCTCGTCCTTCTCTCTGTCCACCATGCCCGCCTCGTCATTTATGCACCCTTTTGCTTCGCCCAACGCTATCCCGCCCCGCACCAGCTCCACGGGTATTCCAAATCCCAACACGGCCGCTACGAGCACCCTCAAACAGCCGTCCAGAACAAGCGTCCTGCGCCCACTGAGCGAGATTGACTGGTTGGGCCAGAGCAAGAAGAGCAAGACGAGCCACGCTGGCGAGCCGCTGAATACCCACCCACCCCACCAGAACCCGCCGTCCATGGCGTCCAACATGTCGACCCCGACCAACACCGACGCCCCTCTCGAGTCCAGCACAAACTACCCCACGCCCCTGTCCCCGCCCTTGGAGTCGACCAAAGGTATAGGCGAAGAGCTCATCTACGGAAATGGCGTCGCCTGGACAGAGGAGAAGGAGCGTATACTATTAGGCCCCTACGACTACTTGTATGGACATCCCGGCAAAGATATCCGCAGCCAGTGCATTGCTGCCTTTAACCAGTGGCTCAAGGTGCCGCCAGAGCGATTGGACGTCATTACAAACGTCGTGGGCATGTTGCATACCTCGAGTCTGCTGTGCGTTGTTGCCCCCGTCCATATCCAAGACGCATAGCTAATTGTTTTTCTCTCAGCGTCGACGACGTGGAAGACTCGTCTCTCCTCCGCCGTGGCATCCCCGTCGCCCACGCCATATTCGGCACCCCGCAAACCATCAACTCGGCCAACTACGTCTATTTCCGCGCACTCGCCCTCCTGCTCTCCATGAACAATCCCAGGCTCATTGAAATCTTCACCGAGGAGCTGCTGAACCTGCACAGAGGACAGGGCATGGACTTGTACTGGAGAGACACTCTGACGTGTCCGAGCGAAGTAGACTACCTGGAAATGGTTGGCAACAAGACGGGCGGCTTATTTCGTCTTGCCATCAAGCTCATGCAAGCTGAGTCTCAAGTAGAAATGTATGTGTCTCCCTGCATCTCACAACAACGACCACCTCAGCCTAACCAGCTCCGAAACAGCGACTGCACCCCACTTGTCTCCACAATCGGCCTCCTCTTCCAGATCCTCGACGACCACCTCAACCTCTCGCCCACATCAGGCTACTCAACCCTCAAGGGCCTGTGCGAAGACCTCACAGAAGGCAAATTCTCCTTTCCCGTTATCCACGCCATACGCGCCGATCCCTCAAACCAAATCTTGATCAACATTCTCAAGCAAAAAACGACGGACGATCAGGTGAAGAGCTATGCACTGGGGTATATGGAGAGCAAGGGCAGTTTTGAGTACAGCAAGGGCGTCATTGCCGAGTTGAGGGCCAAAACGGACGAGCACGTGAGCAGGATTGAGGCAATATTGGGCGACGAGGGACGGGGTGGTGCTGACGCACTGAGGGCCATGCTGGAGAGATTGGTGTTGAGATGAGCCATGTTTGATTCTTCTCATGTGACTTGTTGTCATGGATTTCTTCTTTTTCTCTTCTCAATACCTGCATGCATCATGGGCGCCATACGGCGGCGATTACGGCTTTTTATGGAGACAAAATGTGTATGTCAAACTCATGTTTTCTTGATTTCGACGAGGGAGGGATGCTAACAAGGTGATGGACTGCAGCTATAAACATTACACATTCTGAACCTTTGACCCGGGTGGGATCAGGACAGAATAATTCATTAATCGTCTCTCTCTCTCTCCCTCTCTCTCCCCCACCAGCCAAGTCCCTATTCCGCCCTGATGTTATTCTTCTATTTCTTCTTGCTACCCCCAGACGGCGCCATGAGTTTCTGTCGATGCTTATCCAGACACTTCCTCAACGCCTCCTTGAATCTGGCTTCCCTGTCCTCATAGCCATCCTCGACACTAGCATTGATATTGCGTCCCCACCTGTGGCCTTGGAAGCAATCTTCGCCAAGGTGCAAGACATCCAACGCAGCATCTGCTTTTCCTTTTGCGGCACCCACGGCTTCGAGCCAGGGAAACGCATCGCGGTACAGTTGGCCTGCGCCGTCATCGGCAACGCGGTACCCACCCATGTGCGTATTGATGTGGAAAGCAGATAGATTGGTGGCCCAGGCCAGCACGGCAAAACACGAATGGTTATATCCTTTCATGCCGCGGCCTTCGGCGAAGCTGAGCAGACGGAGCCGCTTGAGGTGCTTTGCGCGTGCAGGCCCTATATTGAGTAGGAACGAGTAGAGAGCGAAGCTGTCTGCAAATACAAACTCGTTGCCGTACAACATGTCGACGGCCTCGAGGTGGATTTGCCTGTTGACTGCAAGGAGTGAGGGGACAAGCGGAACAACAGGCGTCATGGACGGCTCCTCGTCGCATGCGAGCAACTGGTTGTTGAGACGTCGAGACGCCCAGACGTTGTCACTTTTCGATGCCTGGGCCATCAACGACGCTGATATGCGTCCGACGGTGCGCCGTCTGTGCTTGAATGTGCCCAGGAGATTGATGCCAAAGTCGTCGCAGAGCGTGTATTCATAGATTGTGTTGCGGATCTCGGCAGGGAGTTGCAGAAATGGAAAAATGCTCTGCTTGGCAAGGGGCCGGCTTCTCCATGCTTTGGCTTTGGGCTTCTGCGGGAGAGCAATTAGTTGACGAGGCCGTGGCGCACGGCGTGGTGCAGCGAACCTTTGCTGGCGGGCTGGCAAAGTCAGATTCTGTGTCCGAGTAGTCGAGCTCGTCCAGACGGTATGCCACTTGGGTTCTCTTGCGCTTTGAGTACCGACCAGACGCAAATGTCTCGGCACATGCTGTGGCATCCGACATTGCGAATCGTATACGTCTCTGGTAATCAATTCAGCTGTACAGAAGGTATGGAGGGGCCGAGGAAGTGAAGGTGGCTGCGCTTGGAAGTGAGTGCGTCTCTCGCGCACTTTAATACATGAGACGTCGTCACGGTGGCAGAGTCGGCTGCAGCCCGTTCTGGCAGTAGTCTAGGCGGCAGCGAGGCTAAGCGAAGGTCGGCAAGGCATCAACTCGGCGGCCTGAGCAGCCCAAGCTGACTTGGAGCAGAGCAGAGCCGACTGGCGCCTGCGCGTATGCCGAGTTTGCGCTGTTGAGGTTTGGACGCTGGAGGGCGAAAGGTGCATGGGTGGTGCATCGAGCGTCGTGGTGGTAAACCAATTGCGTCACTGCAAGCGCTTAGTCATCACACAACCCTCTAACCGGAACGAGAGGGCAAATTGATTCTCTGCATCTTAGCAACATGTCCTCGATACAGTCCCTGACGTCCTTCAGGCTCCATCTGCCTCCCAGCTGCATCGAGTTCTTTCCGCTTAACCCGCAGTATGCCGTCATTGGCACGTACAATCTTGAAAACCCCGACGACAAAGAAGCCGCTGGAAGCGCACCCCACGATGGCAAAGTCAGTGCCAAGAACCAGCAGCGCAACGGCAGTTTGATCTTGGTCAAGATAGATGGCGACAATGTGTATGTCCAGTGTATTTGCAACTCACTGCTTGCGTTTTCCGCGCTGACTAGCCCCACAAGCAACATTGTCCGAACCCTGGCCACCCCATCGGCCGTCCTGGACATCCACTTCCTGACGCACGTCACCAGCTCAAACTTTGGCGTGGCAACGTCGACCGGGGCTTTCTCCATCTACGAGCTGCAGTCGTGGCAGAGAAACCCTCATATCAGCCACATCAAGACCATTCAATACTTTCCCGAGGATATACTCATCACTGCCTTTTCGTGGCATCCAGAGTCCTTCATGGTCGGCATGACACTCTCAAACGGACAAGTATGCCTTGGTGTAATCGACTCTGAGAGCCAAGATGATGCCCCTACTAAGCTCCAAGTTGCCTCGCATGATCTGGAAGCTTGGACTCTAGCCTTCCTCCCTGATGGCTCTGGAATCCTTTCTGGGGGTGACGATAGCGCGCTCCGCTTTGCTGAACTGTCTGACGGCTCAGGAGGAAGCGTGCCTTGGATGGACGGGAAAATCCATGGAGCGGGTGTCACTGCTATCCTTCCTGTACATCTAGATAGCCAGGGTTGCCTGCTTGTCACTGGTAGCTACGACGACCACATTAGGATTGTTCACGTGCCTATATCTGGTCGCAGGCAGGTCCTTGCAGACACTAACCTTGGAGGCGGAGTGTGGCGCCTCAAGCTCCTTGATCGGAATCCTAAGCTGCCGGCCCATCACCGAGTGGAGAAGTGGCGGTCAGAACCTCCTCCAGAAGCTATCCTGCTACTTGTCAGCTGTATGCATGCTGGAGCTAAAATCGTGAAGCTTACCAAGAATGCATCCAAGGATTGGCAAATCGAGGTCCTGGCCAAGTTTGAGGAACACGAGAGCATGAATTATGGAAGCGATTGCCAGCCAGATGTCAATAGCCAAGGCCAGCGGACGTTCATATCTACCAGCTTCTATGATCGCCGATTGTGCCTATGGAGATATTAAGCAATCAGATAGCAAATGCATGTCATCTGCTCCACTTCATACTCCAGTCTTTACATATACCCGATTTCTGACCATCTAGTCCATTGTCACATCATCTTTTTGAAGCAAGTTCACGGGATATTTCTTTATGCGCGGGGCATGAGGTAGTATAATCACATTGAAATGGAGTAATGACAATGTCGTGTGCTAGCAATACAATACAGGTAAGCAAATAATCACGAGCCATCAAGGCTGACAAAGAAAAATAATCAAAGACACTGGTTTGACATTGAGACCGCCGAAGGGCCTGGGACATCATGATTGTCAAGAGGAAAATCAAAACTCATTCCAAAACTCGACCCATCGGAAACAAATGTATTGGGACTGGTCCTAGTTCTCAACTCGCCATTACCCACCAATTTCGGACTATCTACCGCCTGTTGAACAGGAGGAGATTGAAGCTGGCTCTGTGTAGCCGGGACATCGCAAAATTCTAGAGGAGCCGGCGCCATATGAAAGATAGCTCCAGACTCGTAGACGCGAATGTGTTCGCGAGAGGGATCGAGGACATTTGTCGTTACCGCTTCATAATCGACCGCGTTGTTGATCGGCTTGACCACAAGCTTTTTGAGCTGGTACCTCCTGTACAGAGCCCCGTTCTCATCGCAGAAATCGCCCACATTGTTGAAGCCAATCTGGCGTGGCTCCACGCGCAGGTACGCAGATGCATCATCGCCGTAGAGTTGCTCTACGGTTAGTGGCATTCCAGTTGATTTAATTGGCGGCCATGGCAGCCAGGCGTGTCCGGGAACCAGTTGCTGCTCTATATCAGAGACTTCTTGCCTTGACCAGGAGGAATCGTGAGAAACAATTTGCATGTGGAAGCCACATTTGGTGCGGTAGTGGCCTTGGCACGGCTGGTTCTCCCACCATCGAAGCAGACTCATGTAGGCCTCGTATTCGTGATTCAACAGCTTGAGCCTCTCCTGCTCAAGCTGTATTTGCAGTCTATGTTCGGTCTTGTAGTTCTTGGTCTTGGAGTATTTGCCCACCATTCTGCGGTATGTTAGACACGTGCTTTATGTTGAGAGTTGGGATCATCCTACTTACTTGAAGATGTTGTCGAAAGAGACCAATCTAGTTTTGAAGGCGGGAATGAGGATGTTTGAGGAATATGTATCTGTACCGTGTCTAACCTCAGCGTGTGTGCGTTGAATGAATAAAGAACAAGGCAGGAGATCAGTATGCCTCCTCTTATACTAAAGCGAAACGGCGAATCTTACAACGACAAGAAATCATTGATTCGATTGGCTCAAAAACACATCGAATCATGTTTGACACAGGCGCCCATTACATCGCTTCATTCTTGAGAGCCTGTGGTTGCTTGTCAAGATCATTGGAAGAAGCGGGTCCATCATCCTCTGACGTATTGCAAGATAGCCCATTGGCGCTTTAATGTCTATAAATACTTCAATGACCAAGCTGTGGATATGCAAGGCAGCACACTGGATAAAAGTTGGACGTAATTGGAAAATTCGATCTCGTTGTCAATGACAACGATCTAGGCTTTGCCCACTCACACGCTGATATTAACGACTAGAACTTTCTGCACCGCAATCTTCAAGCCGAGTTACTGTAATGGCAGTTAGCCTCTGCTAGCAGGTGCGAGACGACGATATTTGGATCAATACCTTTCCCTCCTTCGTCTATGGCTACTCTGGAGGCATTTCAGGGAATGAACAGCTGGTCGGAACACAGTGCCTTTGATTTCGACACGATAATGACTTTCAGCAGCTTTTGTGGCATTACAATTCATTCAGTTTGGCTGACTGTCACAATAGGATAACAATGCATATGTTGTTGCTAATACGTGTTACCAAGTATGTATGATAGGAGCTAACAAAATAGCTGTCGTCGGCGTCAGAGACATATTCATAACTTTTCTCCATCTTGTTCTTACTATTCCCTCAATCACCAACTGAGGCTCCGAGCACTAGGCCTCACTAGCAAACTCAACAGACACCGTGCGCAAGAATAAAATTGTGTCATGTTAGACGGAACAGTTGTAGTCAGGAATTTAGCGAACGAAAACATACGATGACACTAATCTAAGATAACCAGCCACGTCCCTCAATGCGCGCTTGATTGGCGTTGTGGTAACGAGTCATATCTAGAGTCACCATACGTACCATAGTTTGACAACTGCTTTAGTCATCAGCGGAGCTGTCGAAGCTTTGATAAATTTTCTCAGTGGTCCTTTGGCAGCTTGGTGGGGCAGAGTAGAGTTGGATTCGGTGGGACTGCCGCTAGAGCTGGTGCTTGATAGATGCAGTGAACAACCTTAAGAAAGGAAAAATCAATGCCTCTTGCAATGTAGTACCACGCTACCTCAAGTGTTGTACAGTATGTCAATGACCTATCGCACCCTACCTATAAACTATCTCATATTCAAGTGACTGTTCATGTGAGAATTGATACTGTTTACAGTGCTTGTTACAAACCCGCACTTAGTAATATAGTTTCTAGTCGTTGAGTGTGCTGCACGAGCTCGGCTTTTGTGCACATAGGCAAGTCATCACTACTACTTAATAATCTAATAGGTTAAAAAGGTGCCTGTGCTTTAGCTATTTGAACAAAGCGGCCTCTTCCACCACCTTTGCAAGGAACAGGCGGTGAATCTGGCCCATAAGACCCCGCAGGCAGCGTCCATCTGAAAGTACCTCGATTTGCGCAACTCTGAAACAGCTTTGTTGAACACTATTAATTCAAGTTAGAATTCGAGTGTCTGATATGCCTTTCCAAACGTGAGTCTCTTACGCAAGCGGCTACATCGCCAGGTTTACCGCAGTAAGCTTCAATGTCTGTACCTGGTTGCAAGCAGCAGGCGACTTGTGCGAGGGCCGCTGGGGCGAGAGCTAGTGCAAAGCTGATAATAACAGAGAGGAACTTCATAGTCGCGAGGGCCTTGATGTTGGCAGGAAGATAGATGTTCTTCAACTTAATAGCGCCAAGATCGGCTGCTATCCAATGCTTAATATATTGGAGTTGATGATAGAACAACTTTGTCCTGCTATATATACGTTTCTCTCAACTATATCCTCTCTCCCTGGTCATACTCAACATGTACTATGCTAGATCGGTAAAGACTGTTAGGTTAATACGATTTTGTATTTGGAGTTATTATACAGCTACACATCGTATTTAGTCCCTGGCTATATTGCGGCTTGAACAGTTCCAACTACGAGCTCATAACATCAGCGTGATTACGACCCGTAGTTCTACCGTATTACGTCCTGTCGCACACGCAGTATCTAGTATTATGTTATGCAACGTAAAGTGTAGGAGATACTAAATAGTGTAATTACTTGTCCTTAGGTATGAATTACTTTTATAAAGCAACACATTTATACATAGAACAGAAAGCGGATAGGTAGATAAAGCCACACAGAGATAAGAAACGTAGGATTGAACTTCGTATTCAGGATCCAAGCCAAAGTTGCCGTGTACGCGTAATCAGCACCCGAGCGTCGTGAAAATTGTATAGTCCACCCTCCGCAAGTGCCATATACTGTACAAAGCACGTATCTAATAGGTGAGAGTTAGGCACAGGTAGTCTCACGGCTCACCGCTATCTAACTGAACTGGTGAGGGATTATTTGTAAACTGCCATAGAAGTACAAGCCGCTATAGCTACTAGTTGACAGTCCCACATATACATCAAGTAGCAGCTGCGATAGCTACTGTTGAAGGGTTTATAGTAGTAGGCAACCTCCGCTGTCCTAGTAGGTCGCTTTTGTGGTAAAAGGGTAACGACTAGAATAAAAGCTAAAGCTGCACCCCTTTTCAGCACCGATCCGGGCGGTAGGAATGTTTGTATACGTCATTTTCTCTTCAGGAGAATTTGCTCCTATGTGAAGGCGCCCTTGGTGACCAACAGTGTCACTGTCTCTTTGTAGCCTCAGTTGAAGCCGCCTGGAGTGCTTTGTCGTAGAATCACCCTAGGCGTTGATGTCCGCGAAGAATCAACAACTACTACCAGGGTTGGATGGCGCTCTAGGGGAACAAGGCGGCAGGCAGCTGTCGGCCTGACCGGAATGGGCCTGACTTGCCATGCCAAACTTGTCATTATACACGGGCCGGTCTTGGGGCATTTTGTCGAACGCTAGCGCAGCCAAAAGCCACGTCCGCTGTTCACGGATGGAGTTGAAGATGTACATGGTTGGAAAAGATGGTATCAGGTTTGAACATACAATGTAGGGATTTCAGTGAGGCTCTTCGAGTATTTGGCGTGATGGTATCAAGCTTTCTTACTGCAGCGATAAAGTTTGCATTCCCTAAGATGATGTAATGAATCCAACGCCTTCACACGAACAGCATGTTGCCAATCTCATCGTGGCTCTGTAGATGTGATAAAAGGACGTAGCCAGAACAATAGAACCAAGATGTAAACCAATAAAAAATTTTAAACTATGACTATAATTTACTTGCTAGACTTTTGTGCTGCCTGAGCTGTAACTTGGATAATGCTGGCTCTACGTATTTTCTGTAGAATTTGACCTTTACTAAGTGAATGGGGTATTTCTAGATTTTGTATCTTACCTTTGCAAATATCTGGACAGTGTCTCCTGGTGACAGACTCCTGACTCAACGGTCTCGTGTAGGGTCTTTAACCTCTCATATGTTTCTATGCTAGCGCAAGTTTCTGCTGGCATGAACACTAAACTGGAGTAAATTTCTATTGTGCCCATGCAGTAGATTTGGTTTTATTCTTTGCACATGTTTGACACTGGCTTCCAGCCAAGAATATGACGAATGGTACGTGCCACCATAAGTTTCGGCATCGTTACTGAATCCTATTGACTATCAGCGCTGTTGATCAACAGCAACATATCATGAGACATACCCTGGTCAAGCTAAATCGTATGGAAAACAATTCCTTTGACACGCCCAATATCCGAGGGAATAGAAAGTTCAGATAGGGATCATCGGGACTGTCTTCATCGACACAAACAACATCGGAACGACTACGTGAGATAACACTGAACTGTGACACGAAGAGCACTGCTGGTGTTTCAGAGAGTACCTCAGAGAGCTGACTAAAGAAGTTCTCGTATTTCCAATGCTGTATCCATACCGAATTGTGATCCCAGATGAGTCCTGGCCGGGCGCCATGATTTAAACGAATTGATATCTTATCAGGTGCCATCAGTCCCAACGCATGATCAAAAGGCCTTTCCCCACTGCTGTGTGCCATATTCGCGTCCGCATCAGGTATTCGGTCGAGGATGTATTCAAGCGAGGAGCCTGAACCGAGTTGCACAATCGAACCAACCCCAAGCTATAGCCTCGTGCGAATTTCGTTCAATGGTATCGTTTCAAAGAACAACCGAGTGAGGCTAGAGTTGAAACTGACATAGTCCACGGGCGTGAATCCATCGGAATTTCTTGCAAACTTGTCTGCGCCCCTTTTGAAGAGCGTAGCCGCATTTTCCTCCAACAATGGATTTTGTGACGCGAACCAAGCAGCTGCGCGTAAAACTGTGTTGCCATTGCTTGATATTGTGTTGCTGTCGGCATGTTCTCTCTCTAGAATCTCAGTGGTTGTTGTACTAGTTTCCACAGCACCGAAGAAAGGTGCAGCGAGAGCTTCATTGCGAAGATCTTTGTTTGCATCATGTCCTAACAAGCAAACAGTCACTTGATCTGACCCGCTGTGACCCGATGGATAGGAGAGAGGGGTTTTACCAGCCCCCCAGTCGGTCCAGTAGTTCTGAGTATTCGGATCCATATTTCTGTCCAACAAGAGCGATGTTATGGCACAGCGCTTACCTCATAGGGACTAGTGCCTTGGCTCCCAGCCTATACTTAGACTGCTGCGAAGCTGCTACTACTATAATTAAGCTTATACACTACTTTGTCTATATACTTATTTTTACTATATTTTCGCTATTAGCATTAAGCTATAGCATTTAGTAGCTACTTTTTTCTAATTTATATTACGTAGTACTTTTATTATTTATGTTACGTAATACTTTTCTTTAAACGTACTATATAATTAAAAATGATATCAGTATTAGTTCTTAGCTTAATTAAAGTTATATATTAAAAGATAAGTACATATCAAAGAATAAACAACCTTATAAACTTTATTTAATTTATAGCTAAACTACTTAATAATAGACTTAAGGTTTATTATTCAGTTAAAACCTTACACGCTAGTATATAGTAACAATTAGTAAATACGAACTTAAAAAAATTAGTATTATTAGTAATTAGTAATATAATTTATAACTTAAAAAGAAAAAATTTAAAGCTTATCTACTTTATTAACAGCGATAACTTTTACGCTACTTTTATTTTTAAGTAAAAGTAAATAAACTAAAAGTAGTAAAAGTAAAAATACTTTATAAGATATAAAAACTAAGTAGTTACTGAAAGTTATAAGTAAACTTTACTAAAAACTAAAAGTAATAGCTAGTAATTAGAATAGTTAAAAACTACTTAGCGCTTTCTTTTTATACTAAAGGTAAAGATAATATAAAACTAACCTAGCTCTAACTTCTTTCTCTCTTGTTAACTTACGTCTTAGCCTATTATACTCTTCTACTTCTTTTAGTATATAGTATATAGTATAAGCCTTTTTTTATTTCCTTATTAACTTAGTAAAATACGTTAAACTCTTATTCTAACTTCTAAGATTATACCTACTACTATAAAAAGACTTACTATCTATATAGTTTAGTTCAAAGTAAGCTAGCCTTTTTAGAGAATAATACTTATATAATAAAAACTATAGAGATGCTAGAGGTGGCCTACATACTAGGGTAGCCCGCTTACTGGTGAAACACGTTAAGTCAAAAAAGTAGTTTACTTTAAATTAAAGTAATTCAAACTAAATTGTATCATACTACAGAGGGGTGACACGAAAAAAACGTCACTCAAAAAGTTGTTATTTTGAAACTTTGATATATAGCTGGAAAAAATAGCTAAAAATAAACGGATTGCAGATATGGAAAGCCCAGATCTCCTAGTTTGGCATAGTGAGCCCACCTCCTGCTTAGTCAGCAGCTCTGAGCGAAGAAAAATTATAGAATATAGGAGACTAAAATAATAAAAATTTCATTTATTGTAAACCAATAGTCCTTACTTAAAAAGGCTTAGTTTTCAGATATGTGATAGTCTATATATAGAAGATCACGTGACATGTTTTTTTCTATTTTTAGCAATCCTCTAGAATTAAATATTTAGTTCTAAAGACAAAGTTACTAGATTAAGTTTAGTGTATTACTAAGCCTGATTAGTCATAATATACTATATATTTGATTCTTTCTATCCTGAATTTCTGGTCTCTTAATTCCTCACTATGGATCCAAAATTTTCAAAATTTGAAGCTGAAGTTGCCCGTTTGTTAAAGGCAAATATAGCCATTAAAAATATATCTATTTTACTTAGTAAGCCACCTAAGGCTATTAGAGACGCTATTTATCGATTTAAAAAAAAAATTAGAAAAGAAAGCTTGAAAGAGTTAGTAGAGGCGGAGTTTCAAAGCTTTCAGAAAGAGATAAAAGATCTATTAATAGAGACTTAACTAAGAGCCCTAAAAAGACAAATCGCCGATTATTAGTTGAGAATGACGTTAATATTTCAATTAGAACTTTACAGCGATTTTTAAAAAGAGAGGGCTATTCTATGAATATTGCAAAGAAAAAATCAATTTTAAACAAAGAAAAAGCTAAAAATGGATTAAAATACGCTAAGGATATGCTGAAAAATCTATCTAATATTGGATTAGATAGGATAATATTTTCAGATGAGTCAGCAATCCAAAGAGGCCGAGGATAGAGTGGAGAACATGTAAGAAAACGCCAAAATAAGCGCCAAGGTCGAGAACAAGTTTCTACAGCCAATAGATGTAAGTTAAAAAAAATCCTAATAGGCTAAAACTATCTATTTTTAGTCTAGTATTCTATTAATATTTCAATCGATTTTTAGCTTGCTTACTAATAGAGTTATAGCTAGAGATATTACTATCCAAGTTTGGGGAGCAATTTGGATAGGTGGTAGATCTGATCTAGTAGTAATTCGGGCTCCAAATTCTTCTCCAAACTTCAATAATCACCAATATATCCGTAAGGTTTAAAACCTTAAGTAAAGCCTAATATAAAACCAGGTAAGTAATATATATATTTTTATATCTAAGAATTAATCTAGCACACCTGATTAAAGAGCTATAAATCCCAAATTCGGATATATTATAGATATAACTAACTACTATCTAGGCTGGAAGTTTCAGCAGGATAACTTCAGAATGCATACTACTGAAAACGTTTTCAGCTGGTTTAAAAGAAATTCAATTGAAGTCTTCCCTCATCCACCTTACAGTCCAGATCTTAATCCAATAGAAAATGTGTGGAGTTTACTTAAAAACCATTTATCTAAAAGATCTAGATCATTTTTAGGCTTAGGTAATAACCAGAAGAGTATAGCGGCTTTTACTAGGGCTATTTTTGAAGAGTGGCAAGCTATTCCACAACAGGATATAGATAATTGTATTTTATCTCTACCTAGGCGTTGGCAAGCTGCAGTAGAAGCTAAGGGCTGGTACACTAAATATTTGCTTCTATTCTTAGCGAGAAATAGATATACTCTAAAAAATCAGACTCTTCTATATATCACGTGATCTGACTAGTAAAGGTATACTATGACAGTCAGAGCTTAGAGATTAAAGATAGATCTTTAATATATATTAGACTTAGACCTTTTTATATAGAAACAATAGAGTAATCTAGATATTTAGTTTAGATTTATTCAAGCTTCTAGTTTGAGGATTTTTGTTCGCTCAGGGCTGCTGACCAAGCAGATAGTGGGTCCACTATGTCAAACTAGGAGATCTTGGCTTTCTAGATCTGCAATCCGTTTATTTTTAGCTATCTTTTCCAGCTATATATTAAAGTTTTAAAATAACAACTTTTTGAGTGACGTTTTTTTCGTGTCACCCCTCTGTATTTGTAACGATGTTACAACTTCGCCAAGTATGGAGCCAATCCCAGAGCCGGATCGGAGGAAGTACCTGCCGCCCTTCATCAGCCATTCGCCCGAGGTCGGATCCGAATTCGGACCCGACTAGGATAGGTATATATTGAGACACTCCCTGTAGCTAGCTCTGTAGACTTTTGATATCCTTTCGTACAAGGCCTATAGGTGGCTTGTTGAATCTAGGCTCTTTGTGATCCCACGCACTCCCATATGCCTCTGAGTGATCCTACGACCGAAACAGATCCGACCTGCCTTACCTGCGCCGTTACAGTATTCAGGCTATTACTAGTTCTACTTTAATAAACTAAACGCGTTAGTTAAGGCCTAGAAGTACTCTTTTGAAGTCTTATCTTCTCTAGATTTTAAGTAAGATCACCTAAACTACTACATCTTTGTAATAGTATTACATAACACCACTATAATGTTTTTTATTAAGTAGAATAATATATTATTCTTTAGACATATTACTATCCTCTATATCCTCTAATTCTACTTAATAAATGCGAAAGTTGTGTCTAATTTAGCTGCAACGCCTGCAGCGCTGTTCACTACGCACCCTCTTCGCAGACGTTGCACCATTATTATAGCTACTACTCTATGCCTTAGCAATCTAATTAGCTATCTAGCTAACTATTTAGGACCCCTTTGCTTATACGTAGCGCCTCTTACAAGTTTTTCGCTTTATTACTTTAGTAATTATAGCTTTAAGGCGATTAAGTTTCTCCTATATTAACACTATATTATAAGCTATCTACTAAACTCCTTTACTTAACTACTGTATCTACTCCTTAAGAGAACTTATAGGAGACCCTCACTAGATTTGCATATAGTTTTGAATAAGCGTAGCCTGCGCCTCCATTTCGCGCGCGTTGCGCAGCGTTTTTAGCTCCTAAGCAGTAGTCTCTTGCGCTAGTAGAGTTGGCGTACGTAGCATAACGTTAAGCTATAATAAAATAACATTATAATTGTGTAGGAAAATTCTAGCACCTTAGAACTCTCTGTAGATATTTTCTAGTGTAATAGCCTTATAATAGGCCTTTTTAAACGCTAGTAAGATGGTTTCTTTACTAATATAGTAGATGTGATTATATGCTAAGACTAAGATAGTATTACTATACGCGCGCTTTAATAGGAAGAAGCAGACTATATTAAGAGGCTATAAGGGGTGCGATAAGTGTGGAGGCATATAGAAGAGGATTATCTTCATCTCTTCGCAGAGATCTTAGAAATCCACTAAGCAGTAGCTCTTATAGCTATTAATAAAAAGCAGCCTATGCGTCCCTACAGGCCGCGCATAGGAATTAAAGTAACAAAGCTAGTTAAGCGCTAGATTGTTGTTTGTCTAGCTAGTAGGACTAACTTAGATTACCTAGTCGCGTAGTAGATCTTCTATAAACTAGGTAGAGATTAGAACCTTACTAGTAAAGATAAGAAACGCTAGAATACACGTGCCTATTACGCTAACGCCTTATATTAGCGTAACCTACTTAAGATTGCTTAGCTAGATCTTCTTTATTCTCCCTAGTTTTTCTAAGCCTATAATAACTAACTATAATAAAATCTTGCCTATAATAAAGCTAGTCTTATTAGATTTATAGATATCTCTATCTACAATTCTATACTTTGTCTTTATATTCTAAACTAGCTTAAACTAGCCCTTAATAAGCGCTAGGTCTTCGTAGAGAGCTTACTAGTGATTATATAGACAGCTCTAGCGCGTACGCAGCTTAGGATTGCGCTAGACAAACCTAT